ATATTTTGGTCTCTAATCTATATTTGGATACTTTATTGTAGTAATCTCTAACCTTTCATAAAAACTCATTTTAATATTGTACTTTGATTATGCATTTGACCAAGGTGACATGCCAATACGCTAGTCAAGGTGGGCTTTATGTCTAATGAGTTGTCGACATGGAATCTTATATCTACGTGGTACTCGGTCACATACACTCTAAAACTTAAGTTAGTAATTAGTATGAGCTTTTGTTGAGTCGAGTCGAGCTTAGTAAAGTGCTTAGAGATCACAATCTTTGGAAAAGTGCGCCTTTACCTTTTACAAGGGAAGCATTGTTGTTATGTAATTGCAACATAATCGACATCCAACCGAGTGTCCGCAGATCCTTCGTCGGTAGAATCTTCGTCCCAGGCCACATGTATAGTTTGGTTTTCACCCCTAATATTTAACAAAAGTTTAAAGTAGATGTTCTCAAATTTAATATCAAACTCAATACTTGAGGCTTAAGAATACAAGTCTAATACATTTTTATCAAAGGTTATACCAAAGTTCAGCAGAACGAAGACCAAAAATACCTTTTTAGAGATCAAAATAAAATATTTACAAGTAAAATGTTGGGATTCTAAAGGTGCGCAAACAAAATCCTACATTGGTTAGGGAAGGGAGTGATCTATGATATACAATAAGGACAATTATCTCCATTACTACGAGGTCTTTTAGATGAAACTAAAAACAAAACTGTGATGGTTATATTCAAAACAGACAATATATCATACCATTGTGGAGATAAATAGAAATTGAAAAAAAAATAGAGTAAGATTCTCTCACATACCTTCAAAAGTATAAGGAATCCCCCGACTAAAAAGGATCCTTCTTCCCACTTGTATCTCTATCTCCCATCATTTTTTTTTTTGTTGTATTTAATCTCTATAATTCAAATAGAGAATATTTATTTGATTAAGTTTGATGGTAATGATTATATAAGCCATTATTTAATGTGGGACTAAGCAAAAAGGACAATATGGGGCATAGAGAATGAAGCATAAATATGATGGTGGGACACTTCCCTAACATTAAAGTTCCTACACTAATTCATTGTGCTTTTGTTTCAAATTTGGACTTTGATTGAAGTATAAAAAAATTATTTTTTAACATTGTCACTTTTTCCTCTTCTAGATGTTTTTAGATTCTTAGTTTGGTTTTAAAAACCAACTATATATATAATACTTTACTTTTTTGGTCTCTGTACTTTCCGTAAAATAATAATTTAGTCATTGAATTTTAATTTGTAACGATTTAGTCTCTGTATTTTCAAATTGGTAACAATTTAGTCATTGAACTTTAATAGGTAATAATTTAGTCCTTGTAATTTAAAGTTGGTAACGATATAGTCCTTATCATGAATTTTTTTTTGTTAAATTTCTTATATATATTGATAAATTATAGAGGGACCAAATATGTTTATAAATTAGAGAGATTGAATTGATATATGATAAAATTTGACATCTAATTTTAGTAAAAATTTATAAGATAGGGACTAAATTGTTACAAATTTTAAACTACAAAAACTAAATCATTATAAGCTAAAATTTGATGACTAAATTATTACATTAGTGAAAGTACAGGAACTAAATCATTACAAATTAAAGTTCAATGGCTAAATTGTAACTTTAGTGTAAGTATAGGGACAAAATGTGTTTTTTAACCTATTTTTTTACTATTTTTTAAATCATTAATTGTTTTTCACAATTCATGTATTAACTTTACCTTTTACAATAATTTAAATCTTCGAATTTTCGTTGTTGATATAAATAAAAATATGACGGGTGAAAAATAAAATAATGGTGTTTGGTAGTGAAAAATAAAATGATAAAACATGATTTAGAATTTTAATTATTTACAATATTACACTGAGGTAGAAATTCAATATCAAGAGAGTTAAAATTTTTTAAGTGAATTATGTGGATATTGGTTAAAAAAATGATGATGAAATGTTTGAAAAATTTGTGTGACGTGGACCTACTGGGAGGCATTGACTCATTCCACTCGTGAAAATCCCAATTATGAGACAATTAATAAACACCCAAATTACATATATATATATATATATTAAAACAAAAAAAAGTTGAAAAACACCACTGGCGCGTGTTCATCACTTGCCAATCAATCAAGGAGGACCTTGCTTTAAAAATTAAATTTTTTTAGGAATTAAAAATTAAAATATTGTTTTTTTTATCAGACAACTCATAGGATGAAGGTTTGAACACTCCAATATTTGGTCATATTATATTGTTTAACAGGTTCATGTTGACAATTATTTAAAACATTGATTGAGTGTTTAATTCCTTTAATACTTGATTTTAAGTATAATCTTCTTCATTGATTTACCCATAACTTAGGGATTTGCAGCCAACGCGAGCATAGCTCAACGATAATTGACATATACCTCCAACCCCACATCTATTAGGTTATTAGTGATAAACCATCTGTAAATGAATGATATTCTAGGGTAAAAATGAAATTATGTATAAATATTTAAACAGGTACGTGCAAAATTTTAGAAAATAATCATATTTACAAAACCATAATCTTGCTATATTTGCAATTATGACAATGGTGAATTATCGTCCATTTGAAAATTTTCAAGAATTAATGCGAAATGTTAGTTTAAATCAATAATTGACTTATTTTATTTTATTTATTTGTAGAGTCAATGTTCATTGGTATTTCTCAATTCAAAGTCTCGATGAGATGTCTTCAACATTTATATGGTTTTCGATTAGGTTTGAAGAGTCCTTCAAAGTTGGAGACAACTTCTCCATAACAACCGCTGCTTGGAAAGCTTCACTTAAAATCATCCCTTTTTTAGGTCTACAGCTCATGGAAGATCACTATAAATTTCTCAACTTTACTTGCACTTTTTGGAGTCCAATATTTTGATTTCATAGCCTCAACATAGAAAATTCATTATATAATATATGCAAAAATTGAAAAAAAAAAGTTACATTTACTTTCATCTTAAAACGTGCTAGCCAATTGAGAAATATAAAATATTAATACAATGCCAAACTTTGAAAGCTGTGTTCATATATATATATATATATATATATATATATATATAACATTTGATTTTTATAATTGAAAAACAAATACGTAATTTAATAATAATTATATAGTTGATAAAATTACTATAAATGAAATTTAATTTTATGCTTTAGAGAGAAAAAAATTTTTGAAAAAGTTATCAAATAAGTTTTGGTTTTTTTTGTTTTGAAAAACACGATAACTAAATAGTAGTAACCAAATATGTTTTATTATTTTGATTTTATTTTTTTTAGGTCAGTGTATTTTGATTTTGATGGGTATATTTTTAAAATGTCCATTTTAGTCTCTATATTTTCAACTTTTGTTATTTTGTTAATTTTTGTTTGTGTACTTTTAAATTGTCTATTTCAGTCCTTATGCTTTTAAAAAATGACAAATTTAGTCCATTCATTTTATGTTTGTCTAATTTCTTTTGATCATAATTTAACATGGTACTTCACTTCATTAAATTTATTGAAATGACTTATACATGAATCAAATTGGTCATGGTTTAAGTATATGAACAAAAATAGATTTTTTAATAGTATAAAGATTAAAAATGATAAAAAATTGAAAATACATCAATCAAAATGGTGCATGAATTAAAATGAACTAGTAAATGAAAATAGAATTTAAAATTATTAAAAAAAAAATACTTTTTTCAACATAATTTGTATAGTGTGAAACAAAATTTACTTTTAAAAAATTAGAAAAGAAACTTTTGAAATCATTTCCAAAACAAAGTTTAAACTTGGATCAAACTACTAAAAAGTAAAAAGTAAAAAGAGGGATATTTATTGGGTGTGTGTCAGAGGTTGGGGCAAGTGAACGTGCACCATCTGGCATTGGAACCACGGATCTGAATTCTGAAAATTCACTTCAAAATAACCCAAAAAAGTAAAAAATTTACAAATTTAACCTAAGTTGGATATGCCCTCTGGTTTCTTTTTCTATTTTATAGAATTTTTTTTTTAATTCTGATCACGTTTAATGAAGTTGAACGGTTGAAAGTTGAGGTTACAGCCGCTGAAATCATAAAGGTTTGAAACTTGAATTCGACATCTTAAATTTGGAGTATGAGAAGCCTAGAAAGAGTGAGTCGGGAGCTTGAATAGTGAACTATTATTCATGGCGATTTTTCCAATTAAACTCGAGATTGACAACTCTTTTTCCAAAAAGCGAGTTATGATTAGAATGCCAAACCCACCTTTAATCAGTCCAGATCCTTTTAAAGTATTAACGCGCTGCCAACCACGATCGGGATGACGACATCTCCACAGGCGTAACAAACGTCTGGGCTTTGACCAACATCTCAATCCACATTGGTTCATGCCTCAAGCGATCGACGAATTGGTTCGTCACTGTTCTACATCCAATTGAAGCACATCACCTCCCCATCTGCTTCCCCTAACAATTTCAAGCACAACTATCTTTTTAAAGTTTTTTTTTTTCATATTTTCATCGCGGTACTTTTTTGCTATTAGTTTCTTGCTCGTTATTTAGCATTTGACATAATTCAATGTTCGATTGGGGCTCCATTCCCAAACAACTCAATCCGAATGCAATGGGGCTCTCACCTTATATGACTCCCCTTTTAAGGAGACTTGTGTCCATTACGCTGCATTAAATTTGTTCCAATCCACCAAATTAACTGTTTAAACTTGATGGATAATTCAACAAAATATCAAGTATCAAGTAGGAGATCTTGTGTTTGAATTTCCACTGCACCGGAAAAAGGTAAAGTTATAATTTATATAAAACAATTGGTTTCCCTGTCTTTTCCCACTTTCTTCCCCCTTCACTTTTACCGATCCTTGTTTTCACATGGGCATGAGAGAGAGAAACAAGGACTGTAGAGTGAGAAAGCAACTGTGGTCGCCATGCCCACTAAGTAGCTGAGCTCTGGCTCTGGCCCCAATAAAAACACACACCGCCATCGCCATTACTCAATCATCCTTCCTTTCAATTAAACCCAAACCAATCACTAATCACCCTGCCTCCCCTTTCTCCATTTAAATATTACATAAAAATCATAACTTTTTGACTCCCATTATTGTACCTTCACTGCAAATGAAGCTCCTCTTCAATGGCGCTGCTCCCCACTCTCTAATTCCACTTCCTTCTTGGCCCTTGTTGAATCTAAACTTGTTGGGAATTGGGGATTTTGCATGATTTCTTCTGGGTTTCGTTTTGTTTTCTGAATGCCCTTCTCTTTTCTCTTCACTTTCCCTTTCTTGGGTTTGTAAAAACAGAGAAAGTGAGGGGAAAATCCTCTGTTTTTGTTCTCTCAGAGTGGTGATGGATGATTATGAAGCAACAAGAATTGTGTTCTCAAGGGTTCAAAATCTAGACCCTGAAAATGCCTCCAAAATCATGGGCCTCATCCTGCTCCAAGATCATGGGGAAAAGGAAATGATCAGGTTGGCGTTTGGCCCTGAAGCTCTGATTCACTCCATAGTACTCAAGGCCAAAACAGAGCTCAAATTCACCTCATCAAGGCCCAAAATTAATCACCCAGCTCTTGCAATTCCAAACCCAGATGATTTTTTCATCGCTCCTCAGAATTTTTCTGCTGCTGCTTGTGGAAATGGAGGAGGAGGTGATGGAATTGATGAGCTTCAGCTTCAGGATCATCTCTCGTTCGAAAACCCAGATTTCTTTTACCCTCCTCCGCCGGCGAGCCCGACCGGCGGCGACCGGATGTTCGCCGGTGGTTGGTCGGACGAGGTGGGTTTGGGGCTGGGATGGCGGCCGTGTCTGTACTTTGCCAGAGGGTATTGTAAGAACGGGGGGAGTTGCAGGTTTTCCCACTCCGGCGGCGGTGAGCTTGGTTTGAAATCGACGGTGGCGGCCGACGGCGGCGGCGGCGGCAGGGCGGATGTGGTGGAGCAGTGTAGTGATTTTCTTCTCCGGTCGAAATCGGCTCTGCAGCAGAGATTGGCTGCTGCGGCTTTCGGTAACTGTAACTTCTTCCCCTATTCGCCGGCGGCGGCTTCCGATTTCCTTCTTCAACAGCAGCAAAATGAAATGCGAAGGTATCGAATGGTTTTTTTTTTTTTAAATAAATTTTTATTACTATTTTAATGTGGTTTGTGCTTTGATTTCAATTTTACCTTTTAATTTGGTTTTTAGAGTTTGTCAAATCTTATTAAAATGTCATCTTTTTATTACTAAATGAGAAAGTAAAATCCCGAAAGCTACTAGACTTGTGAATCACTTTCAAAAAAAAAAACAAGAAAACTTAAACCGCAAAAATTAATTGGCTTTGCACATAACTATTGGATGCATGTTCTAAATCTATAGATTATGATAATCGTTTGATACAAATTTATAATATATTTTACAATTTCTCATTAGCCACATTTATTCAGTCTTCTTCAATAATTCTTCGTTTTCTAGTTCCCTTTACTCAAAATTCGTTTAGCAATCTATGTTTTCTATTCAAAACTCACCAATTTTATTAGCAAACTGTCACTCTTTAAGAAAAAATAAAAAAAGAAAAGTAATTTGAAACTTGTAAGATAACCAAATGGCTAAACATGTATTTTGAACGGGAACGTTGAAGTGTTTTTTTAACTTGTTTAAATTTTTTTTGGTCGTTGGATGTGAAAATTGAGTAGCATTACTAACCTGACATGATACTTAGTAATACTTAGTAAGCGGTATAAAATTAGAGGAGGAATCAAGTCACAAAAAAAAGTTTCTAATTCCTACCTAAAATTTTTAAGAAATTAACAAAAAGTTCAACTTTTTCTAGGTGTGTAATTCTTTCTCTAAATTAATATTCAGTAAATATCTTAGTCGTCAATTTTAACACACAAATATTACAATTAAAAAACACCATATGCACCAAATCCATAATTTAACTTTTTTCCTTTTTTCAAATCTTGTGCAATTATGAAAACGTACTCAGAGCGGCGGTGGGATTATCCATGGCGGAGGAGTCAACCAACTCAGGGAGATTCCGGCTAGAAAGAAGCGAATTTTCCGGCGGCGGAATGGGGAATCCGGCGGCCAGACAAATTTACTTGACATTTCCTGCGGACAGCAGTTTCAAAGAGGAAGACGTGTCCAAATATTTCAGGTTCTAAAATTTGTAAAAGACAAATTTCACATTTTTTAAAAAAATTATAGTATAGTTTTCTATTTTTATAAAAATTTAAGCTGTATTCTATATTTGAAATTACATAATTATTTTATGCAATTTATTTTTTGTTTTTTAATGTTATTATTATGCAGCTTTTATGGACCGGTTCAGGATGTGAGGATCCCATATCAGCAGAAGAGGATGTTTGGATTCGTGACTTTCGTGTACCCGGACACGGTTAAGCTTATTCTGGCTAAGGGAAATCCCCATTTTGTCTGTGATTCTCGTGTTCTGGTTAAGCCTTATAAGGAGAAGGGAAAAGTCCCTGACAAGTTCAGGTTCTCGCTTCTATTTTAAATAAGGCTTATGTTTGGAAGGGCTTTTTGACACTTTTGCCATGACCAAAAATACTTTCCATTCAAATTGATCATATCTAAAAAAACACTTAAAGACCCGAAGTGGATTACTAGAAAAGCACTTAAAAGTACTTTGGGAGTGTTGAATTTGTCATTAAACACTTTTTTTACTAAAGTGATTATGATCAAGGTGGTTTTGTTGAAGTTATTAATTTTGAAATTACTTCAAAAGGCACCTTAAATGGTTTGAAGGTAGGTTTGGATTGCTTTTAAAAAAAGTGATTTTAGCAAAAGTATTTTGATTGGATACATTTTATCATTTTGATGTCGGGTTTCTACGTTTTTTAAGGTACTTTTAGATATGTCCTAAAATTATGTAGGGCATAATTCTCTATAATACTTTCTCACAGAGGACTGTTGAGTGTTTTTTACTTTTTGCCCAAAGCACTTTTAAGTCACTCCTAAAGTATGACGATTTTGAGTGGAAATTACTTTTGGTTACGACGAAAAAATGGTTTTAGCTTCCAACATGGCCTAAATTTTATTTCGGACATTATACTTTCGCGTTTTATTTTGATTTCTAAATTTTGATTTGTGATTTTAGTTTAAAACATTTTTCCATGGCTGATTGTAATCTTATATTTAAACTATAATTAGGAAACAGCCAATGGAAAGGGGGGATTTCTCACCTTGTGGTACTCCTACTAGTGTTGATTCTAGAGAGCTTCATGATCTTCATCTTGGTAAGCAATCAATTCTCTCTCAATTGTATTTTGTGTCTTATAACTCCCAAGGAACCTTCAGAGCTATAAGTACGCCTCAAAATACTCACTCTCGTCCCTACCGAAATTTGAATCTTGAGTTTGATGACCCATTTAGTAATATTCTCGTCCTTTTGTATGTTTCTCATCTTATGTTTCGGTTTCCTTTTAGAAACAAAAACACTCGTGAAGTTTCTCATCATTTCAACCACCATGAATGGTAATGGAACCTGTGTAATAACAACTAAATATAGTAGGATCAGGTGGTTATAACACACTTGTTTCTATAAAAATTAGAAACAAGAAACAGATAATAACAGGGAGTGAGATAATAACAGGGAGTGAGAGCATCATTAAATGAGCCTCAAGTTTCCGGAGTCCAAAGTTCTCACAACCACAAGCGAGCTACGGAAGTAATGATCTTGGAAAGTCGCCTTCATGACATGTTTTTACTTTGCAGGGGCAAGAATGTTGTACAACAGTCAAGACATGCTATGGAGGAGGAAACTAGAGGAGCAAGCTGATTTGCAGCAAGCCCTTGAGCTTCAAGCTTTAAGAGTAACGAATTTGCAACTTGTTGATGTGAAAAAGCCTCACCACCACCACCCTGCAATTCCCTCCCCCACTCACTCTCCCAAGCCCTTCAATGAAACCCCTTTTTTCCATTCAATTTCTTCCAACCCACAACTTCTTCAAGGTACATTATTCCTCTTTGTTTCTGGCTGATTTTCACAACTTGGGTTCATTGGAGCTCAATGACGATTCTCCTCTTGTTTGCAGAGAATGGCTCGAACCGCTTGCTCGAGATGGAGCCGCAAATGATGTTGCACAATGTGGATTCTGCAACTGACGGTGACAATAGTAATGGGAAGGAGACTGACGTGCAAGAAACAAGGTATCTAAAGGATTTGTTTGACAATGTTATCGTTTCTTGTTTCTTAATTTTGTCTCCAAAGGGAAAAAAATATGTATTTTCTATGACTCTTGTTTTGTTGCAGTTTGGAGCATAATCTCCCTGACAGTCCCTTCGCCTCTGCCTTGTACACGCCTAACGGTGTCGCGGCGGATGACTCGGATGCCTTGACTGACAATCATTCTGCAGCTTCGTCTTTCATTTCATCATCGAACCTTGACGCACCCTTCAAATCTTTCAACTGCCAGTAGGCCTTTCTTTTCTCGCCTTGAATCTTCTGCTATTTTGAGCTATCATTTGATGCAGATGCTGAGTTTTGTGTCTCAATTATTTTCAGGTACTCTTCTGGCCATGGAGCCATTGGATTGTACGCGAGCACGGGCGGACCGACATGCAGAGTCGGGATTTAGCTTCCTATTTAGCTCCATCATGTAAGTTCTACTCCTACATTCTTCAACTTACTTTCACTTCACACCCCGTTGATAACATTTTTGTTTTTGAAAACTAAGCTTATAAACACTACTTCTATCTTACTGTTAAGCTAAATTTTTAAAACAAAATTGTTATCAAACGAGATACTCTTCAAATTTTGTTTGTGATTCAAACATTTTGTTGTCTTCTGCAGAACACCAAGGACATGAGAATTACCATAACAAAACATAAAACAAAAAGAATCAAAGGAGAGGCCATTCTTCTATGATTGTTGTTGTAGCTAGTTGTAGTTTTTCAATTTATTTAGTGTAGTATTGAAGTAACTAAAGAGAGGAGATAACAACTAAAGGAGAGTAAAACGACAAAGAGAGGCAATGTCCGACATGTAGTTTTGGCTGCTTTGGGCACTGTAATTCTCTTACCAATGTAAATCTTACAAGGGGGAATTCAGAAGCCAACATTTTCAAATTTTAGTCTTCTTTGTACATCAAAACCGTTTATGATTAAATTGAATGATCAATGCTCATAGTCTTTTCAAAACCATGAGATTTTTCTTTTTAATTTTTTAATTTATTTATTTTAAGTTCAATATAATACAAGAGTAGGAGTCGAACCTTTAATATGGAAGGTAATTGATGTCTTATACACGAACTTCTTGAAAAAAAAAGCAGATTTAGTCCATGGTAGAGAAACTGCAAAAATATATATATATGACCTTATTCAAATAAAAAAAACTTATTAAATTTAGTACAATAAATATATGGAGTGAAAATTTAAATTTGCAATCTTAAAGGATTAAAGGAAAAAAATTAGATGTATTAATTGTTAAGTTATACTTGACAAAATATATCAATTGATTATTGTAATTTACTTCAATAAAATTTATGTTAATTTATTGATTAGGTAAAGCAATGTGAGTATAACTTAGCAGTTTAAGCCAAAATGATTCTAGTTTAGCGGTAATTGACATATATCTCCAATTAAGCGGTTGTAAGTTCGAATCTCCATCCATCTCACATATTGTACTTAAAAATAACTCAATCGGTTCAAAATATCTATTTGAGGCCAAATGTTTTAATCTTTACTTATGTGGGAAAAAGTTTAAAAGAAACTAATTACTATCAAATTTAATATTTAACATTTTTTTAAAAAAATACCATATTTGCCATTACTTTCTTTAAAATAAATAAATATACACATGCATATTTTGTTATTTTAACTCATGGTTTATATATGTATTTGTTGAGTAATTAAAAGAAAATAGCAACTAAACTACACGTTTTTTTTTGGGTGATACCAAAAGTAAAGTATGAGGTAAAATAGACAATATCGTACCAATTGTCAAATCTATTACCAAACAATTGGTATCAGAGTCATGCCCTTTAACTTAGCCATGTGGGTAGAATCCTCTAATTCCGAACAAAGTGACGAGCCTCAAGAAATCCGTGGTTTGGTGTGCTTGCTTATAATAAGATGGCTAGAGAAGCTCATGGGTCTACAGTAAGGATATATCGCCATTAACATTAGACATGTTGGATGATACGAAAAGAAAGACCATGAAGTCTTATGTTCAAAGTGGACAATATTATACTGTGTGGAACGACTCGTTTGTTTCTACCATTTTTTGAGTTCAACCAAGTGTAGGGGATTCAAATCTTCAACTACTAGGGATGTAAATAATGTTTTTTTTTTCTTTTTTTTTTTTAGTTCAACAAGGGATGGGAGAATTCAAACCTCTGATCTTTTGGGAGGTAAGTAATACCTTGACTAATTAAGCTATGTTCATGTCGGCCTAATATTTTGATTAACTGAATTATAGTTAAATCTAGTAAGTAATGTTTTTTTCCTTTTTTCTTCGAGTTCAACCAGAGGTGAGAGGATTCAACCTTCGATTTTTGGGGAGATAAGTAATATCTTGACTAATTAAACTATGTTCATGTCGGCCTGATATTTTGACTAATTGAGAACTATAGTTAAATCGAACTTTGTTGTATAGTATTTTTTATCCATTCGTAATATCACAAGGTTGATTGTACTTTTGAATAGTGACAATAAGTGGCCTTCACTAAATAATGTCACTTGAAGTTATGGTTGAAGCAACTAATACAAAGAAGTTGTGGAGAGACTTGTCAACTCATGGTGAATAGTGTTACATGAAAAGTTATTTCCAATGCTACAAAAATACCAAGTAGTTGACAATAATAATAAGTTTGTTAAAGACTCGTCAAGTCATAGGGGACATCTAAAGCCTAATAATGGAAAACATGACACTCCTTTGATGTTTGAGATCACAACTTTTCGCGAGGACGAGGACGAGGACGAAGATGAAAATTTCTTTTCTCGATTTAATTTTGAGAATGGAGATCGAGAATGTAGTCACCAGTCCAAAATTTGTAATCATTTTTTAATTAACTTATATGTTCATGTATTAAGAACTTATTAAATAATGGTGAAAAACTAATGTGTAAAGATGCTAAATAATTTAATGAAGAAATTTTCTATAAAATTTAAATTTAAAATGTGTACTTTATAGGTAAATTAACATTGAATTAATAAAACAAAAAGAAATTAGTGGATCTTTTGTATGAGAAATTCTTAAACCCACTTCATTTCTTGAAATTGAAGATGGGACTAAGATCTCTCGTGAGCCACAAGGATGGGGATGGGGGAGGCATTTTCCACGTGGATACAAATATTCAGGTGCAGATCAATTAACATCTATTTTTGATCACCAATAAAAATTTGACCATTAATTTTTTGAAAGAGTAAGTAAAAAGTCTAACGGTAGCTATTCAACAAAAAATAGATGCTGATTGTTATGTATCTAAGTATTATTTGTTATCGTCTCTATCGAGTATAATTCATTAACCATTTCTTACTAAAAAATATAAAATATAAAATAAAGATTTGAGTTTTGATCGGGATAGAATAAGTAGATATCTTAACCATGCTGATGTTTAAAATTTAGTTTTAAATCTTATAAATTATATATATTAACATATTTAAAATTAAAAGACTAATCAGACACAATATGTATACTAACCAAATTTATGATTTAACTCGAAATAAACCATTTTTACCCAACATTGTAAACTGAACTCATTTAGCATTTATTATTAGGGTAGTTGCAAAAATGTCAAAAATATTTAGTAAAATAAGCAAAATAACAATCGCATTTAGTTTTTTCAAATATAACATTTTTTTCAACAAAAAACGAAGGTCCAATTTTAAAATTACAACTTTACCCTACAATATATCTGATATACATCTGTAATATATCTGATTACCGATATATGTCTATGATATATCACTGATATAATAATAATATAGAATTGATTTACTTCGGATGTAACTATGATATCTACTGAATTTCTAATATGACTTACCACTGATATACGTATGATAGCCATTGATTCACCATGCCGATACAACATTTATATATCTGTGATATATAATTGATATGTCTTTAATTTACCATTGAGGTCCTGTTTACTTGCTCGCAATCGTAATCAAGGAATCCCACTCCAAATTTTGGAATCACTCCCTAAAAAATACGCAATCCCATTACACGCAAAATAACTATGTAATCTCATTCCAATTCTTTAATCTGTGGGACCCACAATACATTTTTTTTGGTAATTTGACAACCAATGCCCTTAGAGACTCACGATCTTTTGCTTTCTTTTAGGGTTATTTTTTCAACTGCTCCATGTCCGCTTTTACTCTTCTCATTTTCGTGTTTCTATTATAAAATTATTTAATTTTAGATTGAATTGGTAAAAGAAAGTTTATAATAATAAATAGTTTAATAATAATATCAAATAAAGTGTAAAAAAAATTAGACTTAAATACAAAATATATAATTTATTACTATTAAGTAAAATAATATAAGTACATCTAAAAATTATTATAAGTAATTATTTTTTTTAAATATAAAAAATCTCATAAAATCCTTTTTAATTAATGTAATTTTATATTAATTATAAATATATGGTATTTTGGTAATCAGTATATGTCTGATTACGATTCCAGATGGAAGTAAACACCATGAATTGGTTTCTGATTCCGATTCTAGATATGTTCAAGTAAACAACATTAATGGAATAACATTTTATTGATTTTATTACGATTGATTTTCATTATGATTGATTTCCATTACGATTGAGAGTAAATAAACGGGGCCTGATATACAAATGATATATTATTTATATAACTTCGTATATATGCTTATATGATTTACCACTAATATAACTGATATATATTTGATATATACTTAATATGCTTTTATTTTGCCACTGATATACCTCTAATATAATCATGATATCTACTAATATAATTATGTCCAATATAACACTGATATATATTTGATATAAATACTATTATATCCAATTTTTTTTTTCATAGGAAAACAATGATGCAAAAAAATTTTGTAATATAAAATTATTGTATAAAAGGTTTACGTGGATCATACACATAAAAAAAAAGTTAGAAATCTAATATACTTTATAAATTTAAACAGTTGATATTTCTTATATTTAGTATCTAATTAATATTCATTGAAGAAATAGTAGTGATATAGTAATCAACATTATTGATTATATTAGTATATCAATCAACAAATTACAATGATAAACTATAACTTAAACAACTGATATACACTAAAAATTAAACATTTGATATACCTTATATTTAGTATATCAGTTGTAAATATATTTAGTATATCGTAAATTAGAGATACATTAGATATATATATTAGAGGTATAATACATACATCTGATAATATATATTAGGGGTATATCAGATGTATATCAGAAGTATATCATATATAAATTAGATGTATATCATATACATATTTACATTAAATTTATATCAGATACAGATATATATATTGAATCTATAGCCGATATCATAAGGGTAAAATTGGAATGATAAAAATTTCAAAAATAAAAATTCAAATATTTTGCTATATTTGAAAATTTGAAAAGTTGGTAACATTTTTTGAAATTTACGAACTATTTTTGCTACCCACTACAATTACCCTTATTATTATTATTACATCAAAGTGAGCATAGTACAGTGATAATTGACATATATCGGATTACAAGTTTGATTCACACCCAATACTAACAAATAAAGTGATTTCGATTCGCACAACATTTAGTAATTAAAAAAAAAATCAACAAAATTACGAGGCTTTGGGGAAAAATATTGATGAAAATTAAGTTAAATCCTTCATCCCACGTTCTTGTAATAAAAAAAGAAAAAGGAAAAAAAAGTGTATATATATATTTGTGAGTACAAACTGACAATCTGATTACAAATAGTAATTTTAAAATATTGGTAAACTAACAACTGAAAATCGCATTTTCTCTCTTTCATTCCCGCCTTCCCCGGAGCTGTTTGAATTCTTCCTCCTCATCATCACCATCACCAAACTTCTCTTCTTCATCTTCTTTGCTCACAGATTGATTGAAGTTGCAGAGGAGAAACGGCAACAATGAGTGGAACGATGGAGAATTACTTGAGAAAGAACTTCGAAC